ATGCATATTGTTTTCACACCATCATAAAGACAAAAATTTGTAAGTCAAACCATTATCAGGAACCAAGTACTATAGTAATTATCCAGTTGCCCAAAAAAGTCCTTGCAGCTCATTATCCCCTGGGTAAAAACACTGTGCAGGGCTGGCAAACAACACGTCCTATGAATGATCTAGTGTGCAGGGACAGGACAATGAGTTTCAGCTCCTCTTCCTCTGCTGTCAATTTTGCAGTTTCTCCTTTTGTAAAATGAAGCCAATATTTTCTGCCTGCTTCCTGGAGTACAGAAAGGTTCTGGCCAGGCGTAGTGGCTCACGCCTGTAATCCCAGCACTTTGCGGGGCCGAGGCAGGCAGATCATCCTGGTCAGCATGGTGAAACCCTGTCTACTAAAAAAAAAAAATTAGCTGGGTGTGGTGGTGTGGCCCTGTAATCCCAGCTACTCAGGAGGCTGAGGCAGGAGAATCACTTGAACCCTGGAGGCGGAGGTTGCAGTGAGCTGAGATTGCACTACTGCACTCCAGCCTGGATGACAGAGTGAGACTCTGTCTCAAAAATAAAAACTAAAAATAAGAGAAAGGTTCTGACATGCTATCTTTTATTATATAGAAAATGAATAAATCGGCTGGGCACAATGGCTCACATCTGTAATCCCAGTACTTTGGGAGGCCAAGGTGGATGAATCACTTGAAGTCAGGAGTTCGAGACCAGTCTCTACTAAATACAAAAAAATTAGCTGGGCATGGTGGTGGGTGCTTGTAATCCCAGCTACTTGGAAGGCTGCAGCAGGTGAATTGCTTGAACCTGGGAGGTGGAGGCTGCAGTGAGCTGAGATTGCACTACTGCACTTCGTTGAAAGAAAAAGGAAAGAAGGAAGGAAGGAAGGAAAGAAAGAAAGAGAAAGAAAAAAAGAAAGAAGGGAGGGAGGGAAGGAAGGGAGGAAAGAGAAGAAAGAAAGAAAGGAAAAGAAAGAAAGAAGAAAGAAAAAAGAAAAAGAAAGAAAGAAAGAAAGAGAGAAAGAAAGAAGAAAGAAAAATTTTCTGGTTGGGTGTGGTGGCTCAATATAATCCCAGCACACTTTGGGAGGCCAAGGAAAGCAGATCACGAGGTCAGGAGTTCAAGATCAGCCTGGCCAACATAGTGAAACCCCGTCTCTACTATAAATACAAAAAATTAGCTGGGCGTGGTGGCAGGCACCTGTAATCCCAGCTACTTGGGAGGCTGAGGCAGGAGAGGCAGAGGTTGTAGTGAGCAGAGATCACGCCACTGCACTCCAGCCTGGGTGACAGTGCAAGGCTCCATCTAAATAAAAAAAGAAGAAGAAATTCTATCAACCAAATATATTTACAAATCAAAATGGTCTTTATTTATACTTATTTTCATAATTGTGTTTTTATACGTAATTTCTTTATAGAAGAAAAATACTGACTAAAAAATACCCAGATATTCTTTATCCTACCTAATACTTGCAGGGAAATTCATGTGTAACAGCCTTTTCAGCAGTAAAGTCATTAAACAGGAGTCTTTTAATTTTCCATTAATCCTCCCATTTTCCTTCATTTCATCCTGCACAGGGACTTTGACCAAAGAGAAACCATTCTGGCAGAAGAATTATGACAAATGGTGCTGATACTTTAGTTTACAGCCTTCTATTTTGCTGATTCTCCTTCCCAGCCCCTCCTTCTTTCTATGTTTTTTTTTTTTTAATTTTCAGAGTAATTTTACTCACATTGCAAATCAATTAATTTTTACAGCAATCATGCAGCATAGGCTGAAGAGGTATTACTGTCCACATTTTTCAGCTGAGAAAACTAAAGCAGATAAAGACAGATTGCACAAGGAACCAGCCACATAACACATGTTCCTTGGCTGCCAACATTGTTTTTTCCAGCCAAGGGAATGGAAAAACCAGCACAAATGGAGGCAAGAAAACTAGAGAGCTTCAGGCCCAGAAAAGTGGCTCATATCTGTAGTCTGTGAACCCCAAATATCTGAGATAGGTCTCAGTCAATTTAGGAAGTTAATTTTGCCAAAGTTAAGGACATGCGCCTGTGACACAGCCTCAGGAGGTCCTGACGACATGTGCCCAAGGTGGTCGGGGCACTCAAAGCAGGGAGAAGGCTTCCAGGTCATATGCAGGCAAGAGGAAAATGGTTGCATTCTTTTGAGTTTCTGATTAGCCTTTCCAAAGGAAACTATCAGATATGCATTTATCTCAGTGAGCAAAGGGATGACTTTGAGTTCTGTATGTCCTTTGTCCACAAGGAAACTCCTTATGAAGGAGGTATATAGCTTTTTATCTTAGTAGCTACCTTTTATTAAGGAATAGAATGGGAGGCAGGTTTGCACTAAGCAGTTCCCCCACTTGGCTTTTCCCTTTGGCTTAGTGATTTTGGAGTCCCAAGACTTATTTTCACAAGTTTCAGAACTTTGGGAGGTAGGCAGATCACCTCAGCTCAGGAGTTCGAGACCAGCCTGGGTAACACAGTGAAACCTCATCTCTACAAAAAAATACCAGAATTAGCCAGTCATGTTGGTGCATGCCTGTAGTCTCAGCAACCCAGGAGGCTAAGGTAAGAGAATTACCTGAGCTGGGATGTTGAGGCTGCAGTAAGCCGAGATCCTGCCACTGCACTTCAGTCTGGGCCACAGAGTGAGACCCTGTCTCAAAAAATAAAAACAAACAAAAACTAGAGCTTTTCCGATAGTCCAGGAGCCAACTTGGCAATTCACGAGGCAAAGGGATACGAGAAGCAGAAGGCAATATTTAGAGATTAAATCATCTAGTCCATCACAGCTGTTCTATAAAAGGGGAACCTAGGTCGAGTACAGTGGCACCACTGCACTCCAGCCTGGACAACAGGAGCAAAACTCCATCTCTAAAAACAAAGGTGGGGTGGAGGAGGAGTGATCTGGCTTGCTGTGGGCAACTTGAAGGTAGGAAAAGAGTTCAGAATTGACAGGCAGCAAATGAGGCAGTTCTGGCCTCACTGTGCCCCTAAGCTTCAGACCAACCCACATAGCCATCAATCAACAGATATTTGCACGTGGATATCCTACAAGCATTTCAGACCACGTCCAAAAGTATTTCTCCTCCCTCATTTATCCTATCAACTTGACCTCCTTCACCTGTGGCACCCAACTCAATAAATAGCTGAGGGCAAGAGCCTGGGAATCGTACCTCTCCCTTTATCTCCATGTCTTCTGAATCACCAAATTATTCTACCAATCTTTTAGATCCATGTCCTCCTCCCCATTTCTTCCGACACAGTTCAAGTCCTCACTGTCGCTGGGTTGTTACTGTAGATGGTCTAACAGGTCTCCAGGCTTCCACTTCTTGCCCTGTTTCAACACGTCTGCCGCCCTACCAGCCACCACAGAAAGCTTTCTAAAACAGAAAGTGTATGTCATTGCCCTGCTTATTTTTCATTTGTTCTTTACCCCTGGCATGACAAAGCCCAGTCCCAAACAGTCCCAATGTATTTGTGATTTGGCCTCTGACCTCTTCTCACATGTCATCTTTCACCACTCATAACTTCAGCCAAGCCCAGGTTTTGCAGTTCCTTCAATGCCGCCTTTGGCTTTGACACTAATGGCTCACTCTTCCTGGAAGTGTCCCCCTTCTTCTACCCTTCGCCTTGCTAAAATTAACTGACCTAGACTCAGCTCAGGCTGGTGTTTTTCCTGGCACCCCTTTTATACCTCCTTTTGATATTTCCATAATATCTTGTGCAAACAAGAGACACTACTCACCCTGAACTGTGTTTGCTCACACGTCTGTGTCCCTTGCTAAACTATGAGCTGTGGGGTGGTAGGGACACTGTTCTATTCAGCATTTGACATTAAATATTCATCCAACAAATATCTGAGGACCTACTATATGCCAAATGCTATAGATATAAAGGGTATAGCAGTGAACAAAGACACTCTTTGGTATCAAGAGGAGGTGACATAAATAAATGAGCCTATACATAGAATGAAAAGTGCTATGCAGAAAATTAAAATAAACCATGATACAAAAGTGACTGAAACAGTCTGGGCACAATGGCTTACACCTATAATTCCAGCACTTTGGGAGGCCAAGGTGGGCGCATCACCTGAGGACGGGAGTTCAAGACCAGCTTGACCAACATGGAGAAACCCTGTCTCTACTAAAAATACAAAATTAGCCAGGCATGGTGGTGCATGCCCATAATCCAGGCTACTCGGGAGGCTCAGGCAGGAGAATCACTTGAACCCAGGAGGCGGAAGTTGAAGTGAGCTGAGATTGTGCCATTGCACTCCAGCCTGGGCAGCAAGAGGGAAACTCCATCTCACAAAAGAAGGAAGGAAGGAAGGAGGGAAGAAGGAGGGAAGGAGGGAGGGAGGGAGGGAAAGAAAAAAGAAAGGAAGGAAGAAAGAAAGGAAGAAAAGGAAGGAAGGAAGAGAGGGAGGGAGGGAGAGAGAAAGTGACTGTACAGGTACTTTAGATTGGGTATGTCAGGAAGTCCTGTCTGGGGAAGCAAATTGAAGCTGATACATAAAGGCAGGTATTCTGAGTTTGGGAGAGCAGAGCACTCCAGTAGGGAAGACTACCAGAGCAAATGCCGGAAGTACCAAAGGTCCGTGCACCTTAAAGTGTGAGAAAGTAGTGAAGATGGAAAGACAGGAAGGCAGGGACCACATTTAACTTTGCAGGCCAGAGTAGAGTTTTGATTTTATTACAAGTGTGACACGATTGGAGAGTTTACACGATCTGACTTCTATGTTTTGAAAGATCACTCTGGGACTGCTACGTGGCCACTGGGCTGTCCAGAGGGGAAACTAAGGCCCATCCGGAGGAGAGAGACATTGGTGGCCTGGATGGAGTGGTGGCAGTTCTGGAGAAAGTGGATAGATTTGGGTTATGCGGTGAGTTAGACTGACCAGGATCAAATGACAGGCAGATGAATTAGGGTGACCCTTAGATTTCTGGCTCATGGAACACCAGGGTAGTTACTGGGGAACCAGCAGACGCTCAGACGCTTCCAAGCCTTGAGAAGCAGGCCTCGAGAAATCCCTTCTCCCGCCAGGCTTCGGCGTGAGTTAAAATCAGGCAGCCGGAAAGCAACAGGCCCAGGCCCGCAGCCGGCGGCCTCGCAGCGCCGGGACGCCGGGAGAGCGCGGGGACTCCACGAGCCCGGCGCGGGGTTTTCCGCATCTTACGGGCGGGGCCGGAAGAGGAAGTCGGCGCTGCCGTGGCGGCCCCTGCAGCAGCGACGGTCCCATCCTAGCCTGGCCAGCCCCTGTCCGGTCCGGTCCTGCCACGGAGGCAGCTTAGCGTCGGGACCCCGAGCGTACCCCGCCGAGTGAGCCGCGCCGCCCCACCCGGCTCCCACCGGCCCGATGGGGCCGCAGCGGCGGCTGCCCCCTGTCGCGGCCGCACTGCTCTTGGGCTTCCTGCTCCCGCTGGTAAGGGGGCGGAAGGGCGCACTGGCCTCCCAGGGGCTGGGCGGGGCCGGGGCCAGGCCCGAGGCTCCCTTCCCCTTCTCCCTACCCTGGCCCCCCGCCCGGTCTCCCCTCTGCCCGCGCCTACTCGGCCAGCTCTCGCTCTCCCCTTTCCTCTCCTCCCCTTCCCATTACTCATCGCTTTCTTTCCATCCTCCCTTTTCCCCCTTCTTTCCCCCAACCTTCTTGCCCCCCACTCGATTCCCAACGGTTGAAGTCCGGCGAAATACCTACCCCAAAAAGTTCAGAGAAGCCCCTTAGATTACATTGACCTTGGTGCTTCTCCATAGTTGCTCACCGTCCCAGCGTGTTCTGAATTGACCTCTGGATTTTACTGTCTAAGCCTTCCTTACCGCTTCATACCCCTGGGAAGAAAAAAAATTATACAAGAAGCCAGGGTGTTTAGCGGTTCGAGGACTGCACTTTAATTGCAATAAATTAAAGACACAGATGTCTTTTTAAATTTTCCTTCCCACACTATAGTTCCTGCTTCGCCTTAGGGCTCATTTGATTCTGTTATGATGGTTTGTTGTGGGGGCGACGGGGGAGGGTTGTTTTGTAATAGCAGTAATTTAAAATACGTTTTAAAAGAAAACACCAAAATGTAATGCCTTTAGTTGTTTTCAGTTTTCTGCCTAATATAAAGGGTTGGGTGGGGAGGGTCGGTTAAATATAAGTAACAAATATGTGTTCATAGGTTTGTTTTCATAATTACAGAGAAGTAATAGTGTTTTAAAATTCGGCCTCAAGTAATTTGAGCTTCCGTGTGGGAGGGGGGTTGTCAGGAACCTGGTGTTTCAATTTTTGTTTCTAGTAACTTTCACTTAGGGAGTTTCAGGTTGGAAACTTATGAATGTTACTTATACAGAATTGGTATAGTGTAAGCCTGTTTTGTTCTATTAAAATGTGTGATTTCTTTGAAAGACAATGTTTTGCGGACTCTCCAGTTTAAAGGGTTAGTATTAATGAATATGTGCAATACAAAAATGTCTTTAATGTTTATTGAAAAACCAAAATCTAGGCGAAAAAGTAAGTGCCTTTTGGTGTATTCATAACTTTGATAGGCAACATGAGGAACCTGAGAGAATGTGTCTAAAAATTGCTGGGGGAGGGGAGTACGATATAAAAAGAGCAACAAAATAGCGGTGTTAGTCTGAGTTTTTAAAGGTGTTTACTGTGTAATACAGACGTATAATACTTATGTCCAAAAGATATTCAGGTACTATGTAGCTGTATGCAGAACTATAACCTAGATATAAAACTTCCCCATAAAAAAGAGAGAGAGAAAAGAAAAAACTTCCCAAAGTGTTTTTGTGCTCATTTTCATTTGAATCTCTTGGGCTGATTTTAAGAATGAATATTAAAAAAAAAAAAAAAAAAAAAAGAATGAATATATATATCACATTCATACTAATCCTTTCTCAACATAAATTAATAGCTTAGTGATGCATCAGTTCCTCATAAACTTACATTAAAATTCTTCTTAAAATCCCTGAGCCCTCTCAATAGAAAACTCTGTTTAAGTAGACTTGTCTTATTATTTTACAGCCTTCACAAATCTAAAGATCATCCATGTCTTAAATTGTATCTAGGCTGTGTCCCACATTCTGGATTTTAGGCTTTTTATATTGCACCTTTGTACTTTGTTGTACCTCACTGTGGTAATCTCAGGTTGTATACTTCTCTGTCCTAGGGTTGTTGTGAGGATTAAGTAACGTTCTTCTACTCCGCAGATATTTGGTATACATCTTATTATATGGTAGATACTGCCCTGATGACTGAGTAAACTGACAAGATCTGTTTAAATTGTAAGGATACCAGCTAGTATCACTGATTTTTCTATTTCTTGTTGATTTCTTCATGGATTTGTTTTCTTCTTGATTCTTCCTTCCTTTAATTTCTTGAGGTGGTCTTTCTCATTCCTTTCATGTTTTGAGAACTTGAGCAGATCTGGTTTCCTTTTCCTCAGCTTGAGCTCTCTTTTCTCCTTTCTGGATACCTAGTTCCTTTCCTTCAACTCTGAAGTCTTTTACCATTTTCTCCTGAAAGCCCTTTGTTTATTCCTCTTCCCTAATTTTATAGCTCCAGGTAGCCGTTCTGAGTTCATCCGATTAGTGATGCCAGCTCAGTCATTTCATTTCTCCTCTCTGGGCTCTTGAAACTGGCACTACTTCTCCTTAGTCATGTAATAACAGGGCCAACATCCTCATCTCTAATAGAAGTTGCACATAGTCTTCAGAAACCACTGACACATTCATGTAGAAGAGGCAGGGGAATTAGTATTGGAAAGGCTCTTAAAGATCATTTAGCCTACTCTCCTCATTATGGTCATCTTCACATCAGCATGACCTCACTGTGTATTTTGAACTCAAGCTACAGCACGTCTGGCTGTTTTAATGTTTTTTAAATCCATTGGGTCCAGAAATAAAATGAATGCCTAGCAGGTAGTTAAGTGTGTCTTGACCTTGCCGTAATTACATTTTATTTATTTATTTATTTATTTCTAAGACAGAGTCTCACTCTTTCGCCCAGTCTGTAGTGCAATGAGGCAATCTCAGTTCACTGCAACCTTTGCCTCCCCGGTTCAAGTGATTCTCCTACCTCAGCCTCCCGAGTACCTAGGATTACAGGTGCCCGCTACCACATCTGCCTAATTTTTGTACTTTTAGTAGAGATGGGGTTTTACTATGTTGCCCAGGCTGGTCTCAAATTCTTGACCTCAGGTGATCTGCCTGCCTCGGCCTCCCAAAGTGCTGGGATAACAGGCGTGAGCCACCACGCCCAGCTATCATCACTACATTTTACACCTCTCCTTCCCCAGTTCAACCTTGGTCCTGGGCCCCCGTGGTCAGAACTTTATTTCACAGTGTGGATCCAATCATGGGATTCTGTTTCAAAGAAAATGGATGCTGTTTATTCTGGCTCTGTCTTTTTACTTTATTGTTATTTTATTATGATTTATTAATTTATTTTGAAATGGAGTTTCACTCTTGTTGCCCAGGTTAGAGTGCAACAGTGAGATCTCTGCTCACCTCAACCTCCACCTCCCGGGTTCAAGCTATTCTCCTGCCTCAGCCTCCTGTGTAGCTGGGATTACAGGCATGCACCACCACATCCAGCTAAGTTTGTATTTTTAGTAGAAACGAGGTTTTTCCATGTTGGTCAGGCTGGTCTCAACGCCCTTCCTCAGGTGGTCTGCTGCCTTGGCCTCCCAAAGTGCTAGGATTATAGGCATGAGCCACCGTGCCTGGCAGCTCTGTCTTTCTAATTTGCTCTAAAGTTCTCTGAAGAATTTTGAGTCTTCCTCACAGTGTCTTTTTTTTTTTTTTGAGTGGAGTCTCACTCTGTCACCTGGGCTAAAGTGCAGTGGCATGACCTGAGCTCACTGCAACCTCTGCCTCCCAGGTTCAAGTGATTCTCCTGCCTCAGCCTCCCAAGTAGCTGGAACTACAGGTGCCTGACACCATACCTGGCTAATTTTTGTATTTTTAATAGAGATGGGGTTTCGCCATTTTGGCCAGGCTAGTCTGGAACTCCTGACCTCATGATCTGCCTGCCTCAGGCTCCCAAAGTGCTGGGATTACAGGTGTGAGCCACCATGCCCGGCTCCTCACAGTGTCTTTATGAAAGTTCTGTTTGAGAGGCTGAGGTGAGAGAATTGCTTGAGGCCAGGAGTTTGAGACCAGCTTGGGCAACATAGCAAGACCCCACCTCTACAAAAAATTAAAAAATTAGCTGAGTGTGGTGATTTATGTCTCTATTCCCAGCTACTTGGGAGGCTGAGGTAGGAGGATCACTTAAGCCCAGGAGTTTGAGGCTGCAGTGAGCTATGATCATGCCACTGTACTCCATCCATCCTGGGTGACAGAGAAGACTGTGTTTGTCTTAACACACACACACACACACACACACATAGTTTTGTTGATTTTTTTTTCCTTCAAAAAATGTGAAGTAGAATATAGCTGCATCTTGAACTTGATACAATAAAATGATAATCAGGATACCCAGTAGAAAAATCTGTTGCTGAAAATTTGCATTCATTTTGTATACTACACCATCTCAAAGAATCTTCAGTTCTTTCCCTTCTGCTCTCTTCTCTCAACCTCCAGGGGAAAGTAGGTATGTTCTGCTACCCAGGCAGTCAGAAATCTGCTGAGCTCCTGGGCTATGGAATGAATTGTGTCCCCCCACCCCTGACAGCCCCACCCCAAATTCATATGGTGAAGCCATAACCCCCAAAGTATTGGTATTTGGAGATGGGTCCTTCAAGAGATTTTTAGGTTTAAATGAGGTTATGAAGATGGGACCCTATGATAGGATTAGTACCCTTTTAAGAAAAGACATCAGGCTGGGTGTGGTGGCTCATACCTGTATTCCCAGCACTTTGGGAGGCCACGGCAGGTGGATCATGGGATCAGGAGTTTGAGACCAGTCTGGCCAACATGGTGAAACCTTGTCTCTGCTGAAAATACAAAAATTAGCCAGGCATAGTTGTGGGTGCCTGTAATCCCAGCTACTTGGGAGGCTGAGGCAGGACAATCACTTGAACCTGGGAGGCAGAGATTGCAGTGAGCTGAGATTGTGCCTCTGCACTCCAGCCTGGGCAACAGAGCAAGACTGTCTTGGGGGAAAAAAAGAAGAAGAAGAAGAGAAAGATATCAGAGAGCTTTCTCTCTCTTTGCCATGTGCGGACACGGTGAGAAGGTAACTATAAGCCAGGAAGAGAGCCTTCACTAGAAACCAGCCCACCTGGCACCTTGGTCCAGAACTGTGAGAAAATAAATTTCTGTTGTTTAAACCACCAGAAAATAAATTTCTGTTGTAGTACTTTGTTATGGAGCCTGAGCTGACAAAAACATTCTAGGTTTATTACATTCCTCCTTTTAACTTTCAGCTTCTTCAGAATTTTTCTTTTACCTTGCCTCTGAACTGTCTGTGAATTTCCACATCCTGTTAACTCTTTT